GGGCCGCCGGTGCAGTCCGGGGCGCGGCGGGACGGAGCGGCGAGCGCGGCTGGAGCGCGACGGTGAGGGGGGATCGGTGGGCTGCGGGCGGGGGGTGTGGAGCTGGCGACACGGACCCGCTGTGCCCGGCGGGCGGACCCGCCTTCGGGCTCCGAGTGGCTGTTCGGAGAACGGGCGGGCGGCGGCGGCGCGGGACGGGAAAGGCTCCGTCGCCATCGCCGTCCGTAGGGAGTGGCGGCCGCCCCGCCTCACCGCCGCCCTGAGTGGCGTGCGGGGGATGCCCGTGTCGCTGTCGCGGTGGCTTCTTGACGCTGTCGTGCTGCCCGCAGGCTGTGGGGCGGCCTCGGCCGCGCTGCCGCAGGGCTGATCCCCCCGCGTTTCGCATGGGGTCTGCAGCGATGGGCCTGGGAAAGGGTGGCTTCCCCTTCTTTGAAAAAAACATGCCTCCCTGRCAGTGTGTCAGGGTCTCTGTGCGCTCGTTCCAGGTGAGCTCTGCACAGGTTTTTGCCGCTTTATTCCTGTAGGTATTGCTGAGTCAGATAGCAAGGGATGAGAAATTTGTGCTGATCTAATAGATGGTATTGCAGAGGATTACTCTGAGGTTAGTGAGAGCTGTGTGACAAACCTTAGGAATTTAAGAGGCTACTCGTACAGTTACGTGGTTGGTAATTAATGAAAAGCATTTCATACGGCTGGTCTAGTTTGCTTTTTACACTCTGGTTAATTTTTTGAGGGGGTCACATTTGAATTTGGTTTGTATTTTGCATTCTGTTTTGATTCCCAATAAGGATTGCCTTATTTTCTAGTCCTGTAGAAATTATTGATTGAAAACAATGACAAGCAGTATTTACAAAGCATCCCTTTTGAACCACCATTTTGAAGCTCAACAGAATTACACGAATAGTAAATTTTGGCTTTATATTTAATATTAAGTCTTGTTAATTTCAAGCTACAAGTCAGTGGGAGTGTATAAATATTTTAAACAGAAATATCAGCTGATGTTATGCACTTAATTTTTTTTTCAGCACTGTAAAGCAGAATCACTGTGTGAAATCATCAWTATTTTCTAGAAGAGTCAACTGCATAGCAAAAAGCACCCTGCACTTCAGGCAGATTCAATAAACACAAATGCTTTTAAGAATCCTTCTAGGTTAGGAGTTAGTTCACTCATTTAACCCCAAGATGATTGRTGAGGCATCCTGTATTTCATAGCAGCAGTTAATAATAAAAGTAAGATATTGTGGGTGATTATTTTAATAAATGAATTAATTAATTTTTCCCCAATGGATTATGTGAAGCCATTTCAGTTTTACCATTTTTGCTCAGAAATGGGAAAAACAATTTCTGAAGAAAAGATTTTGAAATCTTTCTAGCTCTCCTATTTCTTTTTTTTTTTTTTTTGATTGTCGATAATCAAGTTGCCAATTGGTTGTATTAGCTGTATTACTAGATTCAGGACTGGTAGAACTCTATAGTCAAGTAGGAGCTGCTAGTTCTGATTTTCCTGAAATAGTCTGGTATTCAAAATAATTTGTATTTTCAGAGGATGTTGTGATGCCTTTTCTATTTCTTGTGTTGTTTCAAAATCTTCAGCGCAGGTATTCTTCTGGTTGGGTTTTATTTTTGTTTTCCTAATTAAAAGATACTTTCCATTGTGCTGAGGAGAAATAATAATATAGTTTGGAACAGCTTTACAAGAAAATAAATTTACAAAACAGAATGTAGATTATATGACACTGGCAAAAAGAAAGGATAGTATCAGCTTTAAAACCAGGAGTTAGTTTTTAGATTTTGTTTTTAAAAAGCTTTTTGTCATGAAATTAAATAATTTGTTCATAAGGAAGGCAGTCTTCTCAATTATTTTTCCAATTTCGCTCCATGAGTTGCAGACATCCTGCCACACCTTCACTGTGGAAGGATAAAGAAGAATAGGTCAGTGCTGTTGGTGGTAATGTAATTGGTATTGGGAGGAAACCAAGATGATTCTGGTATCTTCAGGAACTCTTCAGCAGATAGATTTGCCCTGTTTATTTTTTCCATTGATTGCCTGCTTCATTTTTGATGTCTAAGCAAAAGAAATAATACCAGAAGCCCAGTGGATGGATTGTTGCATTTAGGACAACACAAAGGGATTTTTTTTAATCCACTCGGAAGTGGCAGTGTGTAGAGCCTTCAGTCCTCCATGGAAATCTTGCAGTGTTAGGTTGGTACAATGTAAATACTGAATTACAGATTGCCTCTGTTAGCCAGGCTATTGAGCATTTTTTATAACTTTACAATACAGTCTTTTAAGCTATTGTTTTTGTGYAGTGGGGGAAGGAAAGTCCAGTTACTAATGTATGTGCAAGAGAACGTTATGACATTTTGTTTCTATGCTCTAAAACAGTAAGTTTGATGAACTTACATAAAGAT